GCAGCAGGAGAGAAATAATAAAAATCAGAGCAGAAATACATGCTATTGAAATGAAAAAGGCGGTAGAAAGGATCAATGAAACAAAGAGCTGGTTCTTTGAGAAGATAAATAAAATTGACAAACCCCTAGCTAGACTTACAAAGAAAAAAAGGGAGAAAGCTCAAATAAACACAATCAGAAATGAAAGAGGAGAAATAACAACAGACTCTGCAGAAATACAATGGATTATAAGAGAATACTACGAAAAATTATATGCCAACACAATGGATAACCTAGAGGAAATGGATATATTCTTGGACTCCTACAATCTCCCAAAGCTCACTCAAGAAGAGGCAGACAATTTGAACAGACCAACCACAAGGAAAGAGATTGAAACAGCAATCAAAAACATCCCAAAGAATAAAACCCCAGGACCAGATGGCTTTCCTGGGGAATTCTACCAAACTTTCAGAGAGGATTTAATACCTATCCTTTTCAAGCTATTCCAAAAAATTAGGGAGGATGGAACACTTCCTAACACATTCTACGAGGCCAACATCACGCTGATACCAAAGCCTGACAAGGACACCATGAAAAAAGAGAACTACAGGCCAATATCGCTGATGAACATCGATGCAAAAATTCTAAATAAAATTCTGGCAACCAGAATTCAGCAATTCATCAAAAGGATCATACATCATGATCAAGTGGGATTAATACCAGGGACACAGGGATGGTTCAACATCCACAAATCAATCAACATGATACACCACATCAACAAACTGAGGAATAAAAACCACATGATCATCTCAATAGATGCAGAGAAAGCATTGACAAGATTCAACAGTCATTTATGATAAAAACTCTGAACAAAATGGGCATAGAAGGGAACTACCTCAACATAATAAAGGCCATATATGGCAAACCCACAGCCAACATCATACTCAATGGGCAAAAACTGAGCGCCATCGCCCTGAAATCAGGAACGAGACAAGGATGTCCTCTATCACCACTCTTATTTAACATAGTACTGGAGGTCCTGGCCAGAGCAATCAGGCATGAAAAAGGAATAAGAGGAATCCACATAGGGAGGGAAGAAGCGAAACTCTCGCTGTTTGCAGACGACATGATCTTATATATAGAAAACCCCAAAGAATCCATTGGAAAATTCTTAGAAGTAATCAATAACTACAGCAAAGTTGCAGGGTATAGGATTAATTTACATAAATCAGCAGCATTTTTATATTCCAATAACACAATACCTTTCACAATCACTACAAAAAGAATAAAATACCTTGGGGTGAATTTAACTAAGGAAGTGAAAGACCTATACAATGAAAATTACAAGGCCCTTCTGAGAGAATTGGATGACAACATAAGGAGATGGAAAGACATTCCATGTACATGGATTGGAAGAACAAACATAGTTAAAATGTCTGTTCTACCTAAAGCAATCTACAGATTCAACGCTCTCCCAATCAGAATCCCAATGACATTCTTTACAGAATTAGAACGAAGAATCCTAAAATTCATATGGGGCAACAAAAGACCCCGAATTGCTAAAGCAATCCTGAGAAAAAAGAACAAAGCAGGAGGCATCACAATCCCTGACTTCAAAACATACTACAAAGATACAGTAATCAAAACAGCATGGTACTGGTACAAAAACAGGTACACAGATCAATGGAACAGAATTGAAAGTCCAGAAATAAAACCACACATCTATGGATAGCTTATCTTCGACAAAGGAGCCGACGGCATACAATGGAGAAAAGAAAGTATTTTCAACAAATGGTGCTGGGAAAACGGGAAAGCCATATGTAAAAGAATGAAAATTGACCATTCTTTCTCACCATTCACCAAAATAAACTCAAAATGGATCAAAGACCTAAAGTTGAGACCTGAAACCATAAGGCTTCTAGAAGAAAAGGTAGGCAGTACACTCTTTGACATCAGTATTAAAAGGATCTTTTCTGACACCATGTCTTCTCAGAGAAGGGAAACAATAGAAAGAATAAACAAATGGGACTTCATCAGACTAAAGAGCTTCTTCAAGGCAAATGAAAACAGGATTGAAACAGAAAAACAACCCACTAACTGGGAAAAAATATTTGCAAGTCATATATCTGACAAAGGCTTAATATTCATAATATATAAAGGACTCTCACAACTCAACAACAAAAAATCAAACAACCTGATTAAAAAATGGGCTGGAGACATGAACAGACATTTCTCCAAAGAAGCTATATGGATGGCCAATAGGCACATGAAAAGATGCTCATCATCACTGATCATCAGGGAAATGCAAATCAAAACTACACTAAGATATCACCTTATGCCCATTAGAATGACAAAAATATCTAAAACTAATAGTAGCAAATGTTGGAGAGGTTGTGGAGAAAAAGGAACCCTCACACACTGCTGGTGGGAATGCAAACTGGTGCAGCCACTATGGAAAACAGTATGGAGATTCCTCAAAAAATTAAAAATAGAACTACTATACAACCCAGCTATCCCACTACTGGGTATCTACCCAAAGAGTTGAAGTCAGCAATTCCAAAAGTCTGATGCACCCCAATGTTCATTGCAGCATTATTTACAATAGCCAAGACATGGAAGCAACCCAAGTGCCCATCAACAGATGACTGGATAAAGAAGATGTGGTATATATATACAATGGAATACTACTCAGCCTTAAAAAAGAACAAAATCGTCCCATTTGCAACAACATGGATGGACCTTGAGGGAATTATGTTAAGTGAAATAAGCCAATTAGAGAAGAACAATCTCTGTATGACTCCACTCATATGAGGAATTTAAAAATGTAGACAAGAGAACAGATTAGTGGCTACCAGGGGAAAGGGGGGGTAGGGGGTGGGCACAAAGGGAGAAGTGGTGCACCTACAACACGACTGACAAACAATAATGTACTACTGAAATTTCACAAGATTGTAACCTATCGTTAACTCAATTAAAAAAAAAAGAAATAGTTCAAACTGTAGCACTTCCAGGAGAACCCTAGTCTAAAGGTGATACCAAGGGTATGTCTAAAAACTTTTGTTAGACTACAAAGATAAAAGGTGGTGCCTTCAGAGTACTATGCATAGTCACACAAAGGGCCTTTTAACAAGATTAAAGGTGTGCTTCACAGATCCTCTCAAACAATAGGGTCTCTAGGAAGATTGAGAGCTGTGTCCTGCAGACTTGTAGGAACCTAAAGTAAAGAAGGGCTTATCTAGAAGAGTTTTCTGGTTGTGACTTTTGTGTAACAGAGTGAACCTTAATGAGAGTCACAGGGGGCCCACAAATTTTTTTCATGAATTACATCAGCAATAACTCTGCCAACTTGAACTGAAAGAGACAGAATGAGAAGTACAGTAGAAAACAAAGAGGCCACTAGACAACCCCCCTCCCCCAATTCTACTGGCAGGAAAAGCAGGCTGATCTTCTTGACTGTAACATGTGCTACTTTTCTTGAAAAAGAAAAAGGATGACACAGAGTGAAACCAGGAGCCCAGACAGCAGAGCCAAAACCTATGGAGAATCATTCCTAGATCTTCAGACCTAATCAAGGAACTTCCAACACTGGCCCAAATGTATTTCAGAATTGCAATGGACTAGTGACTATTTTGTGCCTCCCATATCCCCACTTTTTGAACAAGAATGTCTATAATTGTTACCCTATGCCTGCCTCACCATTACATGTTGAGTATAGGTGGAGAGGAGTTTTACAGATTGAGAAGAACTGCAAGAGTTGTACTTAAGGAAGTACACCTGAGGAGCCTCATCTACGACAGGATGTGATTTAGATGATGAGGTCCTGAACTGTGAGCTGATGCTATAACTGGATAAGACTTTAGAGGACTGGGTGGGGGGGAAGGCGGAATAAGTATATTTTGCAAGTGCAAGGGACATGAGTCATTGGGAACATATGAAAGACTATAATAAACACCTTCTAAAATGGTCCGCAATGATCCTGCTTTCTTGTATTTATGCTCTTGTGTAATCCTCTCCCCTTGAGTATGGAGTAACCTAGTGACTCTCTTACAACCAAAAGAATGTGGCAAAGTGATGAGATGTCATTTCTGAGATTAAGTTACAAAAAGACTCTGCTTTTCATCTGGATTACACTCTCTCTTGCTTTCTCCCTCACTCATTCTGAGGGATACCAACTATCATGTTGTAAGTTGCTCTGTGGAGAGGCTTACATGGCAAGGAGTTAATATGTCTAGCCAATAGCCAGTGAGAACCTGAGGCCTCACAACAGCCAGGTGAGTAAGGTTGGAAGCAGATCCTCCCCAAGTTGAACCTTCAGATCATTGCAATCTTGGCTGACACCTTAACTGCAGCCTTGTGAGAGACCCTGACCTAGAGACACAAGTAAATTGTGCCTGGATTCCTGATCCACAGAAACTTGGAATAATAAGTGTTTGTTGCTTAATGCTGCTAAATTTGGGGGTAATTTGTTACATAGCAATAGATAATATACCCATAATGAAGACCTAACAATCTGTAATATTTATGTTCAATATATATCTAATATACATATTTATGCAATATATATACATAATACTGTCTTCCAAGAACCTTGGAACATTCACAAAAATTAACTATATATTAGCCCTCAAAAAAAAAATCAATAAATTCCAAGAAGAAGAAATGGTACAGATAAAATTCTCTGATCAAATGGGGAAAAATACTCTGGAAATACTTTTACAATTTTCTTAACAATTTTGGGAACAAAAAGGAAATCAAAACCAAAATTACACAATTTCTACAAAAAGGACAACAGAAAAGCATCTATCTATCAGACTGTATAGGATAACCACAGTGCTCAGAGGAAATTATATACCCTTAAATAGCTATATTAATTTATAAGTTATTCACATAAGAATAAAAGTTTAAGTTCCAATTCAAGAAATTGTAGGGCACCAGTAAACCATTTAGCTTATAAGTAGTACAAACAAGAAAAAGAGTAGAAAACATAAATAATATAAAAAATTAGAATGGGGAAATAGATTCAGAGGAAATATAAAACATATTATAACAGATTACTTTTTTAACTCTATAGATTTGAAAATATTATTGAATGGATGGATTTTTAGGAAAATAAAATGCACCTTCAGAGGAGAGAACAAATCTAAATGGATTAAGTACCACAGGAAAAAAATGTTTTTAAATTATCAAAGAGCCTCTCTTCTCCCTCAGAATACACTAAGCCAAGTTTTCAGCAGTTCACTTTCACCGCTATTATTTAGCAGTATTATAGAGACAGTTGCTGATGCAATTAAGCAAGAGAAAGAAATAGCAGGTCTTAAACTGGAAAAGAAGAGTCAATACTATCATTATTTATAGAAGGTATAATGCCTATTTTGCCTTTTCAGGTTCTAAAGGCAACACATTCCACAGCTAGGGATGCTGCTCTGGCCCACACATCAGTAATACAAAAGGCTGCCAGCTTTGAATGGGGCCAGGAACAGGAGAGAGCTCTGTAGAAGGTACAGGTTATGGTGCAAGTGGCTCTACCACTTGAGTCATACAATCCAGCAGATCCTGGGGTGCTGTATCAGTTGTGATAACAGGTGCAGTGTGTTTGTAGCAAGCCCTAGAGGAAGAATCAAAACATAGACCTTAAGGTCGTGGAGCAAGGCTATGACATCTAGAGCATAAAATTACATGACTTTTAAAAAACAGCTTCTGGCATGAATACTTGGGCCTGACAGATGGAACACTTGACCATAGGACACCTAGTGATCATATGTCCAGAACTGTTGAACTCGGCAAGTCATAAAGTTAAATTGGCTCACCAGTAATCAATTCTAAGATAGAAATAGTACATATAGGATAATCATGAGCAAAACCAGAGAGTACATGTAAGCTGCATAAGCAGGTAGGCCAGACCCCAGTATCATCCACCATAGTTCACCAGAGTCTCTCCCTCAGCTCACATCTATGGCCTATATATAACCTATGTACATCACACCCATATACAATACACCTATGTAAACTATGTGAAAGAGGTGAGTAAAGCCTGAATTTTGAGGTAATGAATGGGTGAGACTCAAGCCAAAAATGAATGGTAACTGCATTACAGCCTCATTCCAGGGTAACCTTGAAAGACAGTAGGGAGAGAAAAATCTTTATTGATGGTCAGAGCTTTTTGGGGTCATTGTCCAATTTGTATGGAAGAGAAGTGGATTGTGGTAAGAGAATGTATGGACTCATAGACAGTAACAAATGGCCTAGCCTACTGGTCAGGAACTTGGAAGGTAAAAGATTGAAAGATTGGAGACAAGGAGTCCTGGGGAAAAGGCATATGGATGAGAGTAGGCATGCAGTATGAAGATCTTTGCATTGTGCATCTATGCTCACCAGGAAGCATATATCATGGAAGAAGCATTAAACTACCAAGTAAACAAAATGACTTGGTGAGTTAATATTAGCCAGTTTTTGTCATTGTCCAGGCAGCACAATGGGCCTATGAATGAAGTGACCAGAGTGGCAGAGATGGAGGCTATACATGGGCCCAGCAACCTGGACTCTTTTTAACCAAGGCTGATCTAGCTACCGTTGTCTCTATATGCCCAATTTGCCAGCAGCAGACACCAAGGCTGAGTGTCCAACATGGCAACCAGCCATTAGATGGAAAGTTGATTACATTCCATGTTGGAAGGGCCAACTGGAACTGATACCTATTCCAGTTATGGGTTTGCTTTTCCTTCCCTCAGGGCCTCAGATAGCAATACTATCTAGGGGCTTAAGGGATACCTGTTCCATAGGCAGGGAACCCCACAGAACATAGCACCCAATCATGGATCCCTTTTTACAATAAAGGGAACGTAGAAGTGTGCCCATGGGATTCCACCTGTTGTATCACTTACTGAACCACCTAGAAGCTGCCAATCTAATAGAGCATTGGAATAGACTGCTGAAGGACCAGCTCAGAACCAATATCCTTCAAGGATGGGGAGCCATCCCCCAGGTCATGGTATACACATTGAATCAGAGACCTTTATGTGGTGCTTGTGTCCTCAATAGAACACAGCATTAAGGAATCAAGGAGTGGAAGTAGGAGGGGGTCCCACTTACCATCACTTCTAATGACCTGCCAAGGGATTTTGTGTTTCCCATCTCCACAATTCTGGGCTCTGCAGAGTGAGAGGTCCTGGTCATCAAAAAGGAAACACTTTTACCAGGAGATATAGGAAGAGTTCCTTCAAATTGGTATTTTTGAGCTACAGGCTACAGCTGCCACATGAGCACTCTGGGCTCCTTATAAGGGAAGTCACCACCTTGTTAGGGGAAAATGATCTTAGCAGAAGATCTGACCTAGCAGAAGAAACCAGGGTTTCTGCTACACAGATATGTGTGAAACTCAGGTAACATAATTGGGCATCTCTTGGCATTTTCTTACCCAGTTGTGACTGAATTGTTAAGGGCAATCCCCAGCCTGAGAAGATTATGGTTAGCAAGGACCCAGGCCCAGGAATGGGTCACCCTATCAGGGAAGTCACTGAGACTAGCAGAGGTGGTAGTTAATGGTGAGGGGAATTTAGAATTGAAACTGGAGGATGGAGATAATGTGTACCTGTTAGTCCCAAGACCAACCTGCAGCAGTGAGGTTGTAGTTCATCACACTAATTTCCCTATTCTAAGCTTCCCCTCAGGAACAGAGGCCCACCAGAGTCCTGGAGGAGCTGCTGCCTTCATGGGTATGAAGGAGCAGATCTGCACAACACAAGGAGTGAGCTGCGGCAGACACAGAGATGTGCTGCTCAGATATTCCCTTTAGGAAAGGATTTGCTACCAGGTCTGAGCAGTGTGGTTACTGTACAACCTCCAGCTGTTAGTTTCAGCAGGGTCTGCCTCAGTTTTTGAATCAAGGTCATGCTTTTCTCAGGGTAGTACCTGGGCAATGACTGAGCAAAGTAGTGGTAGCTGAAGGCATGTTCTTCTCAGGGCAGTCCCAGCAATGACTGAACTAGGTGGTGGTACAAGGGCCTAGCTAATGCCTGACAAATGCAGGGCTCCTCCAATAGGGGATCTTTTCTCTGGGGCTCCTCATTGAGCTGACAGAGGCTGGGTCAGGTCAGTATTATAGACTGATCCCTCTCTTTGCCCAGTTGAGCTTCTTCCTTTTCCTTTTACAAGTGCTAGTTGTATTCCTAACTCCATCTCAGCAACTGCTTCCCAGAAAATCCAACTCATGTCACTGAAGTAAACCTGATATTTTTTCTCCTTATAAGTGACTTAACCTTTTTGCCTGACTGTTGAATTCACTCATTATTTTGTGGAATTTAGTCACTTTACTAAGATAAAATTCATTTTGACTATTTTGGGTCAATTTTGTTCAACATACAATGTGTGGCCCTTTCAATATGTAATAGATTCAGAACTTTCATTTTGAGAATGTTTCTTGAAACATGTTACCTTTAACTATTTGTCTTATTTCCTTTTTACTCTCTTCTGGGAATATAGTATGAATATGTTAGAACTCATTTATCTGGTATATCTACTTTTTTCTCCTTCAAACTCTTTTTAAACTAATTCTTCATTTTTATTTAATGTTGTTCAGTTTTTGCATTTCAATCCCCTATTTCCTTTTATGTAACTCACTCTGTGTTCCTTTCGATGTTATCTTCAATTTTTTTTCTTCTACTTCTTTCCCAAGTAATTATAGTCAATGTTTTATTTCCTTCTGCTGTTTCACCATCATTTCACTGAATTTCCCATTTACAGTTTGTGGTTTTCATTCTTGAAGTGATTTCTTCATTTTTTTAATTAAAGTTATTCCTCATTTATCGCCTTGAGCATCCTAAATACATTTATGTTGAAGTTCCATGAAATCAGTTCTGTCTAGAGTGAATTCAAATTCTGATTGTTAATTTGGTTGGCTTCTTTCAGATGAGTAAATCTGTTTGTCTGTTGGAATTTTCACCTATTTTTAGGTTTTTGTTCCCCCTTTCTCTTCCTCCAGTGTTTAATCCAATCCCTAGTCATGTAGTTTTACATTTACCTCCACCCAAATCCTGATCCCCCAGTCGAGAATGAGGTCTGATAATGGCATGTTAGGATTCCTGTCCCAAGCTGATATGGAAGATATCTCTAATGCTTCATGAAGCTCACAGGTAGCTTGGTTCTCTTCTGGTTAAGAGGATACATCTTACTTCAAATGTATCCTGAAGTTCTCTGAAAGTCACAGCCCAACATAGTGACAAGAAATCCTCCCCCCTCTCCCAACCACCCCGACCTCAACCTTCTTTCATGAGAAGAAGATCCCTTACTCTAGCCCCTGGATTCACATGGTAACCCAGGATTCACATCCCTGCTTCATATGGAGCACTTTAAGTACTCCTTATCTCATGAGAGCTGAACACTGGCAAATATTGCCCTTTTGTTTTTTAAACCCACAGCACAGAAAGCCATTGACTTCAGCTCCACTCACTACTTTTCTTTTCTGTTCTATATTTGGTTCACAGAGATATTTATTTGTTTCTGAGTTTACCTGGGTCTTTTGGTGTTTTAATATTTTATTGAACAGTGTTTCATATCATAAACTTATGGAGTCATTGTGATTGGAAATTCCCTAAAGGTAGCATTTAAAATATGAATTATTTAACAAATGCTTTTTGACAACTGAAAGAGCATTTGGAAAAAAATAAAATTGGATCCCTACCTCATATTTCTTACTAAAATAAATTCTTGATGGATTAAAGATTTAAACTTTAAAACGAAGCCAATAAGGTATTAGAAAAGACCTTAGGGTAGACAAAGATTTCTTAAAGACACAGAAAGTGATAACTATAAAGGAAAACATTAATAAATTTGACTACATTAAAATTAAGAACTTTTGTTCATCAAAGACACCATTAAGAGGATGAAACAACAAGCTAGAGTGGAAGATATTTGTAATAGCTATCCAATAAAGAACTAATATCTATAATATATTTTTTAAAACTACAGATCAATAAGAAAAAGACAAAAAAACTAATTCTAAAACATAAACAAGAGATCGGAACAGGCACTTCACAAAAATGACATCTATCAATCTAATAAACACATGAAAATGTGCTAAATACCATTTGTCATCAGAAAAATGCAAATAAAAATCATGAGAAACTACCATATGCTCACCAGAATGTTGGTGAGCATGCAGAGAAACTGAAAGTCTGAAACAATGCCGGTGGGGGTATAAAATGGTAAAACTACTTTAGAAAACTGGTGATATCTACTAAAGCTAACTGTAGGCCTATCAAAGGTCATATAGGTCAAATAATAGGCCCACTCAAAGTCACATAGGAAGGACATGGAGGAAATAATGTCTATCTCACATCAGAACCTTTGTTCTTTACTGCTACTCTGCTCTTCCACCATAACCCAGGTCTTCTACAAACACACCAATGCCTTAAATGGACTTTATTTCTTTTTCTGGTTCATTATTTGAATTTGTTTAAAATGGAAACCCTTATCATAGGCTGGCCCTTGGTTGATTGTTGAGGTTTACCAAGCACCTTAATAGAAACCTAGAACTGAAATACTGGATCAGGATCACGAGAAGCAACAAATAAAATCTTAGAGGTTATTTTCTTATTTCAAGTCCCTCCTGATATACATCAGAATTACTTTTTAAACTGGTTTTCCTTGCTACCATTTCTCTTTGTTGTAATCCTCAGTGTTCAAAATATCCTCACTTCCCGCCCATAATCAAAATTCAAGGCCATGGTCTTTCCTGGTATATATTTTCTGATGTCATCTGTCTATTAGCTTAGAGTCCTGTGTAGCCTCATGTTTGTGAGTCTACTAAACCTGCTGATATTTTAGTACTTAAGGATCTTATCTGAAATCAGTTACCTGGAATTCATCACTGGTTTTTTCTTCTAGAATATGCTTTTCATTCATGTTGCTTACCAGGATCCAGTAAATCGGCATGATTAGATTAAAATTTGTAATCCTTGTGGTCAAAACTTTTAAAGTTTTTCCAAATCTTTGTCTTTTAGACAATGCTAAATTGCTGCTTCCATTGCCAGTCCATGTGTGTCCAATCAAATAAAAGCACCAAACCTCATATCTAAATATTCTTGTGATAATTAATATTGCCACATTGATATGTTGAGTTAATATGTCTTATTAATATTGTATTGGAGCCTAAAAGGCATGTATGGAATGTTTCATTAGAAAGGAGCAGCTTAGAAACTATAGAAGTTTAATTTATGTTGTTATTTAATATTAGTAATATTCACCCTGTAGGTCCCTCAACTAATTAGGAATCCTTTCTAAAAAACTCTAGGAATCCTTCTAAAACACTGAAAATTTTTAGACAGAGAAAGAAGACTCTCAAATTTCAGGAAAAAGCCTGAATGTTTTAAACAGTTTGCTGGAACAAAGTGAAACAAAGGTTTCTCCTCCGATGTCAACCTTTTCCCTGGAGATCAAGAGGCTTGGGCATGGACAGGAGCAAAGAGGAGTGTACTTCTGAGCTCTGAATCTGTAGGAGAACTTTTTCTTGATTGATTGAAGCAAAAAAGGCTAAGAATTAAAGCAACCTGGCCAAATGAGAGAACAGATTTGTAATGACTTTTTCCTCCTGCTTAAGACATTTTATGACAATTCTGCACATGTAGGAATGTATAGGCTTCTTCAGCACATTTTTCATTTCAGACTTTGAAACTATGAAGGGTTCTTCCATATGAACAACAAGCAACGAAGACTAAGCATTTTTTTATTGATGTCATAATAGTTTATAACATCGTGAAATTTCAGTTGTACATTATTATATGTCAGTCAACATACAAGTGCACCCGTTCACCCTTGGTGCCCACCACCTAAACCCCTTGCCCCTGGTAACCACTAAACTCTTCTCTTTGTCCGTGTGTTTGTTTATCTTCCACACATGAGTGGAATCATATGGTATTTCTCTTTCTCTGTCTGGCTTATTTCTCTTAATATAAGACCTTCAACATAACTGTTGTGAATGGGAAAATTTTTCCCTTTTTTATGGCTGAGTAGTATTCCATTATATATATATACCATATCTTCTTTATCCAATCATCAGTCGAGGGGCACTTGGGTTGCTTTCATGTCTTTGCTATTGCAAATAATGCTGCAACGAACATAGGGGTGCATAAGTCTCTTTGGATTGTTGATTTCAAGTTCTTTGGATAAATA